TTGCTTTTCTCACTCACACACACACCCTTTGCTACAAATTACACGTATATATAGGAAAACTAAACCGACTTAACTTACTCTGGATGCTTCTCAATTTCTCGTTGCCGCCTCATGTTTGTTTCTAAAATATTCTAGCCGCGTGATTGAATTTGCTTGTGCTTATCTTCAATTTGTTTTTTTGTAGCTGTTGTCATTTGTTTTATTGCTGCCACACTTGTGATTTATGGGACCACCTTAAATCTTGCCGACATATTTTTTTATTGTTAAGTTTGGATGCACATGTGATTGTTCAAGAGTTTGACTTCCAGCACTCCCCCTCAAACTCGACTTTCCATTCCGAGCTTCTCTTTGAGTCGGTTGAATATATCTGCTCTCAATGGCTTTGTGAAAATATCTGCTAGTTGATCTTCAGTTCTGCAGTAAATTAGCTCCACATTTTTGTTCTTCACTTGCTCTCGTATAAAGTGATACTTTGTATCAATATGCTTGCTTCGGCTATGAGAGACTGGATTCTTGACAAGGGAAATTGTAGACTTGTTGTCGACATAGATTGTAGTTGGTTCTTCTTGCGCCAAATTTAGCTCGTTCAAAATATTCCTTAACCACATTGCTTGGCAAGTGCACGCTGCTGCGGCTATGTATTCTGCTTCACATGTTGAAAGAGCTACCGTTTGTTGCTTCTTTGATGACCATGAAAATACTGCAGAGCCGATATGAAAGAGATATCCAGTTGTGCTTTTCCGATCGTCTAAGTCTCCCCCATAATCACTATCAGAATAACCAACCAGCTTCGAATTTTCTGAATGCGTGTAGAATAAACCATAACCTGTTGTACCTTTGACATATCTGAGGATTCTTTTTGCTGCACTCCAATGATCTTGTTTCGGATGCTCCATGAATCTGCTTACCAATCCCACAGCGTATATTATGTATGGTCGTGTGATAGTCAGATACCTTAGACTTCCAACTATGCTTTTGAACAACGTCGGATTCACTTGCTCTCTTGTTGAATTCACACTTAATTTGACTCCTGGTTCTGCTGGAGTGGCTACCGGCTTGCAATCTTCCATTCTGAATTTTCTTAAAATTTCTTCTGCATACTTCTTTTGCGATATAAATATTCATTCTTGCATTTGCTTCACTTCAACTCCAAGGAAGTATGACATTTCTCCAATATCTGTCATTTCAAATTCTTTAGTCATAGCTTTCTTAAAATCATTGAACATACCTGGATTATTTCCTGTGAAAATCATGTCGTCCACATATAAGCACACGATCATGATATCACCGTCTTCATTTTTCTTTGTGTATAAGGCATGCTCGTATGGACTCTTCGTGAACCCATTTCTCTGGAAATATTCATCAATCCTCGTGTTCCATGCTCTCGGGGCTTGCTTCAAACCATATAGAGCTTTCTTCAATCGGTAAACTTTGTCTTAATGTCCCTTTTTAATGTATCCAGGTGGTTGCTCAATATAAACTTCTTCTTCTAGGTAGCCATTTAGAAATGCTGACTTCACATCCATTTGATAAATTTTCCATCCTTTTTGTGCTGCGACTGCTGTGAGAAGTCTGATGGTCTCGATCCTTGCTACTGGAGCAAATACTTCATCATATTCTATTCCTTGTCTTTGTTTATAGCCTTTGACAACTAGCCTCGCTTTGTACTTCTCAAGATTTCCTTCTTTATTGATCTTTGTCTTGTAAACCCATTTTACTCCAATTGGGTTATGGCCTTCTGGTTGTCTTGTTAGCTCCCATGTATCATTTCTTTCTATTGATGCAATTTCTTCATCCATTGCATTCCTCCATTTGTCATCTTCAACCGCTTCTTCGTATGTTATTGGATCACTGTTCACAAGCAAGCAGAAAAGTGAAACATTATTTAGTTCATAATCGTTGTACCTTTCTGGCATTCTTCTCTCTCTTGTGGATCTTCGAAGTTCTGTGGGAGGTGCTTCACGATCTTCTATTATGTTGCTGGCATCGTTGCTGCTGCTTGACGACGATGGTAGATTTTGTCGAGGATCTTGATCATCATCTTGTTCATCTTGATTGATAAGATCACCATCTTTATCTTCAAAAAATAGTCCTTCAACTTTCTTTTCCTCTTCGCTCCATCTCCAATAGTCTGCTTCATCGAACTCGACATCTCTTGAAATTATTATCTTCTTTGTAAGAGGATTATATAATCTGTAAGCTTTGCTTCTTTCATCATAGCCAATGAAAATACATTTTTCTCCTCTATCATCAAGCTTCTTTCTGGTATGTTCGGGAACATGGGCATATGCGATGCATCCAAAAATCTTGAAGTGTCCAACTCCTGGTTTCTGTCCACTCCATGCTTCGTTTGGCGTCATATACTTCACGCTTTTTTGTTGGACATCGGTTCAATAAGTAAACTGCACATCGAACTGCTTCAGCCCAGAAATTTCTCGGTAGTTGCTTGCCTTTTATCATGCTTCTCTCCATATCCAGGATTGTGCGGTTCTTCCTTTCTGCAACTCCATTTTTGTTGTGGCGTGTATCTGGCTGTCAGCTGATGGATGATACCATGCTCTTTGCAGAATTCTTCAAATAACTTTGATGTATATTCGCCTCCTCTATCTGATCTGAGTATCTTCAAATATTGACCGCTTTGTTTTTCCGCCATTGCTTTAAATTCTTTCAATTTTTCCAGCGCTTCTGACTTTTCTTTCAAGATATAAATCCAACATTTTCTACTAAAATCATCAATGAAAGTTAGGTAGTACCTGTTACCGCCAAGTGATGGTATGTCAAAAGGACCGGCTATATCTGTGTGTACTATCTCCAGCAGTCTTTGGGCACGCCAGGATCTACCAACTTCAAAGCTTTGTCTATGTTGCTTCCCTTTGATGCAAGCCTCACATAATTGATTTGGAGGGTTGATCTCTGGTAGTCCTTTCACCATGCTTGTTTTTGACAACAGCTTCAATCCAGAAAATCCAAGATGTCCATATCTTAGATGCCATAGCCATGAATCATCTTTGATCGCGGTCTTCATGCACATTACTTCTCCTGACTCGATATCAATTGTAAAGAGACGATTTCGAGTCATATCAGCTTGGGCTATCAATTCTCCTTCTTTATTTTTGATGGCGAGCGAGCGATTCTTCATCTGCACTTCATATCCTTTTTCCAGGAGTTGACCAAGACTGATGATATTGCTTTTCAAAGCAGGTACATAATAAACATCTGAAATATATTTCTTTTCTCCATTTTTCTGAGTAATCATGACTTTGCCTTTTCCTTTTATTTCTGCGTACGAGTCATCTCCGAACGTTACTCGTCTATGGACTGTTTCATCTAATTTCACAAACAATTCCCTTTGACCACACATATGGTTACTGGCACAATTATCAAGATACCAAATATTTTTCTTGAATTCTTCATTTCCTTTATAAGTGAGGAATACGTGAGATTTTTCAATTTTTTCTTCTTCAGCTGCTGCTACATTATTTCTTTCTTCTTGTTTAGGAGCAGATCTACACTCATAACTATAATGACCATACTTATTGCAATTATAACATTGTACCTGGAATTTACTTCCTTGTTGATATCTGCCCCTACCTCGGTCTCTGAATCCTCGTCCACGACCTGATGTTGGATTGCTTTCACTCATTTGATCGGTGCTATATGATCGACCACCACGTCCACGAGTTCCTTGTCCTCCTTTATATCTTACACGATAACCACCATGATTTCCTTGTCCTTGTGTGTAGCTGCTGCTAGCTTCTCCTTCGTTGACATTCATCTTGCTTTGTAGAGCTTGCTCCAAATTTTCAGAATCTTCATTTTGTTTTATTTTCTGCTCATGGGCTTGAAGTGAACCCACAAGCTCATCGATCGATATCTGGGATAAATCTTTTGATTCTTCGATTACCACCACCACGTAATCAAATTTTCGTGTTAATGACCGCAAAATTTTTTCCATCACTCTAACATCGTCGAGTGATTCGCCATTTCTTTTCATTTCATTTACGACCGTTTTCACACGGCTAATATAATCATCGATATTTTCTGTATTTTTTCATTTTTAGCATCTCAAACTTAGCTCTGAGAGTTTGTAAGCGTACCTTCTTTGCTTTTTCGGCACCTTGTAGAGATTTTTGCAAAATCTCCCATGCTTGTTTTGCGGTCTTTGCATCAGAAATTTTTTCAAAGGTAGATTCGTCTACTCCTTGAAAAATAAAGAACAACGCTCTTTTATCTTTTCTCCGGGATTCCTTCAATACCTTCTTTTCTTCATTGGCCAGGACTGCTTCTGCTGCTGCATTTTCAGGCTCGGTGTAACCATCCTCGATGATATCCCAACAATCTTGGGAGCCTAGTAACGCCTTCATTTGAATGCTCCAATTGCCATAATTTGTCTTTGTCAATCTCGGGATTTGTGGTTGAATCATGTTGGTCATCTTCTCCACCACGTTGAACTCGAACCAAGCTCTGAGGCCACTTGCTGGAAGCGTAGATGGGCTCACAATAATTTATAACTCTCAGAAATTTTTATTGATACGAAACAAAATATTTTACAACGACACTCTCAATATTACAATACTGCAATACTAGCTGCGGCTAGTTTACAAACACAACCTCACTATTTTATGCTTTGCTAAGCTCTCTCAATTTTCTCTAATTTTTTCTCCCACTCGTACTTTGCTTTTCTCACTCACACACACCCTTTGCTACAAATTACACGTATATATAGGAAAACTAAACCGACTTAACTTACTCTGGATGCTTCTCAATTTCTCGTTGCCGCCTCATGTTTGTTTCTAAAAATATTCTAGCCGCGTGATTGAATTTGCTTGTGCTTATCTTCAATTTGTTTTTTTGTAGCTGTTGCCATTTGTTTTATTGCTGCCACACTTGTGATTTATGGGACCACCTTAAATCTTGCCGACATATTTTTTTATTGTTAAGTTTGGATGCACATGTGATTGTTCAAGAGTTTGACTTCCAGCATGATGGCTATCTAACCCATGCTAATACAATCTTTCTGCTATGTTAGCTTTCAAGCAGTATGGGAATATAACATTGATTTCCCTTCAGACTCTCCCATTGATGGTGATGTCATGTGAGATTTTGTACACATTTTACTTGTTTCATTTTTCTGATTCCTTGTATCATATTTCAGATATGTAATGCCTAAAGATGAGTTTTGTTTCCATTACAGGTCATTTTTAAATTCTGCTTTTTGAACTTTTGTTCAGAGTTTGGGCTGCTTCACGAGATCTTAAGGTCTGCTAAGTCAAGGTCATTTTTACTGCCAAGTATCTTCATTTCTTCTCATATAGTATGATATAGTAGTCTCCATGGTCTATTACCTCAATTATGTGATAAATGATTTATTTTCTGTTTATGGTTTCTTCTCTAGGCTCTTGCTTTGAATGCCTGTACTTCCTTAGTTTCTGTGGAGCCAAAGTTGACAATTGAAACAAGAAATCATGTTATGAAGTTACATGCTTTCAGTTTATTTTCGTAAACATATTAACTATGTAAATTGTTCTGTAGTTACTTCGAGCCATGAACATTTCTGAAAATATTTACAGGAAACCTTGGGGCTCTTCACTTTGCCAAATGATCCCATTGATGTTATCAATACCCTTATTGATAACCTTATCACTCTCCTATGTGCTATTCTTCTCACAAGGTATTTGTGGAACTATATTTTGATTATTTCTCGCAAGTATGCTTGCACGTTTCTTTGATTCATGAAGTCATTTGACTGCCATCATTTAATCAAGTGATGTGGGTAAATGATGGCGATTTTGAGCGCCTAGGCTACTTCTAAAAATGACACTATTTAGAACACAGGAAATAAATACCATGAATTATATGCACACGTCTTGTGTTCTCTATGGATGTTTTCTTCTACGGTCTGATGATGGCCTGAAGCTCAGTAAAATCATTGTGGTTTAATTTTGTATATCCGAAAAGTCAATCTCACTTTTCTCGCACTAGAAAATTGTGGTACAATTATTGCAACAGGCTATTCCATGTCTGTCCGACTGTTCTTTCTTGAAGAAAGTATACCAGTTTTTCTATTGAAAATTTTAAATTTCCTTTATGCATCCATGGCCTCTTGATGTACAACAATCAAATTTGTTTTGCGACTTAAATCCTACGAGCTCATATATTGAAGTTTGAACATAAGTTTGTCTCCTGTTAGAGAGAATAATCTTTTCGAGTAATTTGTTTTATCCCTGCCCCGAATAATGACGTAGGTGGACTCTTCCCCCGTCCCTTTCTTCCAGGGCTAGACAGAGAATAAGCCACACATGGTCGAGACATGAAAGAAAAGTCTTTTATAAGTTTTGGGTCCTGTAACTGCTTAGCTACCTCACTAACTTGTTTAAGTACTGTAGAGCTTTGTGTTGTTCAGTTGGCATTTATTTGATCCTGCATCATTGTTTAGTTGTCTAGAAATTTCCCATATCTCTCGTCCGTTTACATTGAATCTTTCTTTGGAGATACTTTTTCAAACTTAATGCCATGGTCATAGAACCACATGATATCCTTCATAAAAGATGTCATCGGAGCTGTTCATCATGTTTGATAAAACAACCTACTTGATTCGTGGTACCTTTTTTTTCGCCCTTTAACATCTAATCAAGCTAATCGAACGTTAACCACTATGTTCAGATACATGCTACACTCCCACGCTTGATTATGCACCTTCACGATGTTGGTTTTTGGCAAAAGTCCCACATTGGTTGTGTATAGTTTTCAAGGTGAATCTGTTATTGGTGGAAATTAACCCGAATTCCACAACACACGATGATAACCTTACCTTATTTTTCATGCCCTTCTTTGCATGAAGCTTATTAACATGCTTCTTTCTAAATGATGCTTTTTCCTTTCTTGTTCTTTCCTGTTTCTTTTTGTTATTTTTTAAAATAAATAGAACGCCCTCAACCGGTTCGCCCCATTAATGGAGATAGAAGGGTTGCTGCCACTATTCAGTTCCCACAGCATTAACTCCGACGATCGGTACGCAATAATGGATGTTTAAATATATGAAATTATGGTTTTCTTTCTTATTTTGTTCTCACGAAACATACTTCTCCCTTCAGAAGTGATTACGAGGACTTCTTAAGAGATTTTACGAAGCAATTTCTGCAGCATCTTCTCTCCAGAGTCGATACTTACATGGTGTTAACCATTCAGGTTCGCGTTTTGCTAACAAGACTGCATTTTCATTCTAAACGGATTAGTAACCGGGTTCATTTTTCTCTATGGTTACAAGCCAATCGAGTCGTAATTTAATGCATAACGCCGGTCGAGGCTATTGTGCTAGATTTTAGCCTAACGTGGGACGGTCATGGAAGCCGGAAAAGTGCTCACATAGTCCCTAATGGTGCAGGCTTTTGATGCACCTTGGCCGACAATCCAAGCAAATGCTATTTATGTTTCCAGCAGCATACTCTCTGTTTCAGACGATCGGCACATTTTATATCTTTACCACTCACAGGTTACATCCCGAGATGTTCTTGCGATTCGAGTGTATTTGATCCCTTAGTTCCAAGAACTATTCTTGAAAAATGTTTACCAGGGTGTAGGTGTTCGGGATGTTGGTTAGCAAGATGAGTCGTTCAACGGATGCCGTCGTTAGCCATTAAAAACGGACACAAAATTGGAATATCAACATAAACATTATCTTTTGGTCTGAATTTTCTCTTCCCTAAATATCGAAAATCTTAAAGAGTATACATAGTACATTAAAAACGGACACAAAATTGGAATATCAACATAAACATTATCTTTTGGTCTGAATTTTCTCTTCCCTAACTATCGAAAATCTTAAAGAGTATACATAGTACATTAAAAACAGACACAAAATTTTATGTTACGAGGTAAATTTTTAAAATTTTATAAAATTTTAGGAGATGATAAATTTAAATTCAGATATAATATTTTTTTTATTAATATAAGGTAATTACAAGATAATATCCGTTCAAATATAATTCTTAACCATTTGACGTTAAACGTAACACTCGGACTTTCTAATGCTCAAATTCGAAATCTCAAATTCAGATATAAAATTTTATGTTACGAGGTAAATTTTTAAAATTGTAGGAGATGATAAATCTCAAATTCAAGTATAATTTAAAGTGTCAATTCGTGAATAAAACCATTACAAATTTTGAAAAGGAAAAGGAAAGAATAAAGTTGGGGTCAAGTGTTCCAACGTTTTCCCTTGGCTTCTCTCTCAAACAATACTTTGATTCTCTTTCTTTCCCTTCATATTATGGGGTTACATTTAAATTCCTTTTATCATTGTACTTCGGAGAAAACCAAGTCATTCATTTCATACCCCCAAAGACTCTTTTTCTAAACAAAAATTGGAGATTGTTCTTCATTGATACAATCGAAATGGGATCATCAACGGGTGAAAGCTATGATCTTTCGTTCAAGATCTTGTTGACCGGAGACGCGGGTGTGGGCAAAAGTAGTTTGCTCGTCCGCTTCGTTTCAGCTGCTTGGGAGGATACAGCTCCCACCATTGGTTCGATTTTCTCTACCCTTTTTTTTTCTTCTTTTGTTAAGTTCTGGTATTTTGATTTCATTTTAGCTGTGAAATTTTTCATTTGGGTTTTCGTTTTTCTGTTTTGATCCTTTGTTTATAGGTGTGGATTTTATGATCAAGTTGTTAACGGTTGGTGGCAAGAGGTTAAAGCTTACTATTTGGGATACTGGTGTGTATAACCTTGTTCTTTGTTATTGCTCGTTCGTGATTTTGATATTGATTCTTGGGTAAATTATGTTTTTTGTACCTAAAGTATTAGTTTAGATCCGTTTTAGTATCTAAACTTTCAGTTTTTTTTTAAATCGTGTCTAACATTTAGTTTTTATTTCATTTAGTATTCCGCCCACTGTTAAAAATTTTAGTTTTTGTTTTATTTTAGTGTCCCGTTCAAAATTTAAAGTTAAGTTTTGGAAAAATTGATAGTTTAGGTACTAATACGGAACAAAACTGATAGTTTACGTACTAAACGCGTTAAGTTTAATGACGGGATACTAAATGAAACGAAAATTAAACGCTTATTAATTTTTGAAAAAAATGAAAGTTTAGATACTAAAACGGATCAAAACTGATAGTTTAGATATTAAACACATAGTTTACCCTTGATTCTTGGTCTTATAATTTGTTTAGTTTTTCTGAATTCTATTATACGAATAACGTTGAGTAAACGATTATATAAAGTAATAAAAATATATAATTTACGATGAAAAACACTAAAATGGAAAAACTAAGAGTAGGAAAAAGAATCGTAGGAGTACCTCAAATCGAAGAGCAGTTCTTTTCGAATCCAACCATAATAAAATTTGTATCATAAGCTTTAACAAATTCAATTGTCTATACTAACAATTACCTTCATTAGTTTGCATGGGAGAGAATACAGTTCATTCAATTGTCTATACTTATAATAACCTTCATTAGTTTGCATGGAAGAGAATATGGTTAGTGCTCATTAATTACTCGAGTTCGATTCGAATTGAGTTTATTTTTTATCAAGTAAACGAGCCAATTAAAGAAAGCTCGAGCTTCAAGTAGCTTGTGAGTCTCGTATATACTTTTGTTGTTAGAACAGAGATTTGAGTACGAAAATCTCTATTTAAACTCGAGCTCGAACAAAAATGGTAGTCTTTGGAGTTGAGCATGAGAATCTGTCTCATTTTTCTCTCGGTAAACAAGTCTAATAAAGTTCGTTTGAAATTCAAAAGTGGAAATCAATCGTGCTACAACATGAATTTCGATCTATTAAACTGTTTGCAATGCAAATTGTGTCAAAGTTTTCTCATATAAGTCATTCAACACACACACATATAATATATTCATATTCGTGTTATAATAATCAGTCGAAATGAGTTTCGGGTTTTGATTTTGTTGTTATCGACGCTAACTTGACCCAAATAACTCGATTTTTCTACTTCAATCTTCGATCGTATGATTGATATTTGGACCGAAAATGCTTATGGTAGCTGGACAGGAAAGGTTCCGAGCAATGAAAAGCTCATACTATAGAGGCGCCCAAGGGATCATATTTGGTGAGTTCATCATTCTAGTGGAAGTTTCAAATTCTTATGTTACTCCGACACGAATGTTGGTAACCGACGACTTACACCCGAGTCCGAGTAAATCTTGGCTTTTGGTTGCAGTTTATGATGTAACACGGCGAGAAACGTTAACGAATTTGTCCGATTTTTGGGCCAACGAAGTGGAGCTCTATGCTACCAATCAAGACTGTGTCAAGATACTCGTCGGAAACAAAGTCGATCTAGTAAGTCTAATCTTCTCTTTCCGATCCGATATATTAATCGATGCTTCTCGAACCCTGCACGCTATTTTAGATCCGAGTATGTGTCGGATATGAGTACATCAAAGAAAAATGAACAATCAGTGCAACATTATAGCGTTGTTGATTGTCATTCCAAAAGGATACTCTTTAACTTCTAAACAGGGGCGGAGCTAAGGGGCTGGGCCCCTAAAAATGATAATTCCCTTCAGACCCCTTAAGAAATCTTAAAATTATAATTAGTCCTATGAAAAAATTAATTTCATAAGCGAAATTAAGAAACTGTCGCGTGTCAGGATTCCGAAAGGGCCGTAAGTAGAGAAGAGGGGATGGAGCTTGCAAAGGAGCTTGGATGCTCGTTCATTGAATGCAGTGCCAAAACAAGAGTAAACGTGGATCAATGCTTTGAAGAGCTTGCACTCAAGGTATATCCCCATTTCTTTTGGTACAATTGCTCTTTAAGTCCCTCTTAATTCTAAATTGGCGGCTTAACAATTAGACTCGGACCAAGTCCAACTGAAGCTTCATCTTGGTTCCATCCATGTTAACAGATTATGGAAGTTCCAAGTCTTTCGGAAGAAGGGTCCACCGTCGGAAAAGGAAACATCCCAAAGCAAGAGTACAATGCGCCTCCTGCCGGAGGAGGCTGTTGTTCTTAAATTACAGCAATCCAGAGGCTTCAACATTAAAGAAGAATGACTCATAACATATATATACAGAAATGGCAGCCATGTTTATGGCTTTTCAAGCTACCTTTGACAGATTGTGAAGAGATCATGCATGTATTATATATATAAATTTCTATCTGGGTTAATTATATATTCACCATGACTCAATATTAACTTGTGTTAATCTCATTCACTGATTGATTAAGTATGCATGTGTGTATGTATATGTACTGGTACAAAAGAAGGTTGCAGCTAAACATATAGATGAAGAGAACACAAACGGTTCATATTTAAAGAAAAATGTTGTAGCTTGAGAGTTGAGTAGGCATAATAATAAAATTAACCCCAACATTTGTATAAATTGTCACTTTACACCTTATACTTTTTTAGAGTATTTTATCTACCAACATTTTATTTTGAAGCAACATAAAAATCGTTAGTTGACTAATGGTCAACGCTTTTTGTGATGTTACATGTCCACGTATGATGTCACATCATCAAAAAAATATTGTTAAACTATTTTGAAATATATTTTATAAGTGTATATGTTATTAATTATAATTATAGTTTGTTTTGAAAATAATTTTTTGCTAAAATGACATCACACATAGATTTGTCGCGTCCTTATGAAATATTGAGAGTTAGAGTTAGTCAGCTCTATCTCCCGATCTTGATTTCTGGCCAGTTTGTCGCCATTTTCATTTCAGGGAATTTACACGATGTTTTAGGCCTCTATTTCCCTTTGGATCCCAGCCCGTTTTCTTCTGGCCATTTACTTATAGGATATTTAGTAAACGAATGAATACAAACATAAAAAAATATATTCAGTTTATTTAATTCTCATCTTTCCTTTTACTTTTTATATTTTAAATATTGATGAATATATGGACTAAATTGAATAGATAGTAAAAATATATGGACTAGTGACATAATTTCACCCTTTATTCGATTTAGTTTCACTTATCTAAATTAATATTTTTTAAAATATAAATGAATATATTTACAAATGCTAAACGAATATGTGGACGAGCATATAAATAAACACAAATAGAGAACACAAAGGCACTCAACATTCAACACAAAAGGTTCTATAAGCAATGGCCTATCTTCAATCAAGGCTACACACAAAGCCTATGGACAACCTTGAAAAATGAAAGCCTAGTAGCATATATCATCTTAAAAGGTCCTTTTATTTCGATGGAAAATATTTGTGTTTATTTTATTTATTTTTAAATATAATTAGTAATATTTATATTTAATTATTTTACATATAGAAAATAATAAATGTGTATATTTATTATTTATTATTAAAATTTTATTTGTTTACAAATATATTCAATTAAATATTTTTTAATATTCATGAACATATTAATTTAATATTATTGAACATGTGAAATAAATATGTCCGTGAACACTAAATTAACACATTCACACACGTTAAGCGAGTGTACACATACAAAATTAAATTTTTTAATGAGCATGAACACGCTTAAAAAAACAGAGAGGAACAAAGGCTTATTCATTCAAAAAAATATTTAATTTTGAATTAAAATATTTAAAAAATATATATTCAATTAAAAAAATAAAACCTAATTTTGAATAAAAGGAATCATTGGATTATTTATAATAATAAATTTACATTACTTGAGTATATTCGTAAATTTGATATATATCTTTTGAATAAACTATTGTGGCTTGCATGGCAAGCAAGCTTTGTACTCGGAGACAAAAAGGCCATGGCAGATTCCTTGAAGTCTACTATTGCAGCATGCTAGATTCCGAAACGTAGTTCCGGCTATTAAGAAGGAAAGTAATACTACTTGCCCTTTTCCGGGATATGGATTCCTACCCGACGATCGACATGCGAACATTACTGCTGCTCTCCTCATCAAACCGGCAAAAGCAACATTCTATTTCACAAAGTTCAGCCACCAGCTGTTTGTACCATCTATAAGAACTCCCGCTGCTGCTGCTGTTGTTGTTTCTGCGGACTTGTTTGACGTCTTTATCGCCGGAACTAAGATGTGAGGACTTGCTGGCTTTCATCACTTTCCTTGTGATTTTCCTTTTGTCGTTGTTGCTCCTCTTCACCTTAAGTTGCTTCTTGTTTCTAATCATGTGCAATAACGATGTTGGTGGAGGATCATACACATCGGAAGCCCATGTCACACTCCGTTTCTTCCACGTTTTACCTCGTTTCTCTCGGCTGCCTTTAAGGGCAGACACTAGCTTCGAGGGAGTCTGTTTAAGGATCAACAAAACGGACCGAGTGACACTTAACAAACCAAAGGCAGTAGAAGAAAGTAATAGCAACGAAAACCACTTACAGGCGAAGGGACCGAGAAAGAGTAGGGTGTTGACTCCAAAGAACTGGCGGACAATATTCGCCGCAACACAGTTCCGACTTCATCATCTTCGGGAGGCATGACGGATGCAAAGGAAGGCAATGACACACACTTGCCTAGTCCCTTTTGAATAGATTTGCTTTCATGCCCGTGTTCAAGTAGCTCATCCTCATCACTTGAATCAACCGCATATGTTTCGTTTTCATTATCATCTTCACACACACAGGCACAAAATTCCGGCCGCTTTTCGACACTATGGTCACCGACCTCTCGAGATCCCAATACCTCCATCTCCGATACCAATAACTGCAATGACAACAAAAAGCGAATATTACAGGAAAACTCAATCCGTCATTACTATTTGAATGAAAAAAAACACACATTAAGTTCATAAGCTAATACAGAAATTAATTCTAGAGCAAACTGAAAATCTTCAAATAATTAGGAAAAATTAAAAATTGAAACATTCTAAACAAATAACCAAGAGAAAATCTGGACAAATGCAAACAGCTTATTCAGAAAAGAATTCTGCAACGATCGAAATTAAGGGCATACCTTGTTAAGACAGCTGCGATCAATTCAAGACCTTAACAACTCCGTAAATTAAAAAGCAACCCCCAGTTCAAGATCGAACCAAACCTCCTATTTTTTCCCCTCAAAGCGAACCGAATTCCTTTTAATTGTAATGCAAAACCCTTAGCTTTTTTATTTTAAGAAAAAAAATAAAAGAATCGATAAGGTGGGCAATGGAAAGGAAAAGTAAAATAAAAAAAGGGATAAAATCAGGAGGAAAAAAAAGTAAAAAGAAATAAAGGGATGATTGAAAAACTTCAACACAGGTTACCACGTCGATCATTCTTTTCAAGATGTTTCAACCGACGGGAGCAAGAGCCAGCATGAAAGGTAGCCAATAAAGGGATCAGAGGAAGACAAATCGATTCAAAGGGTATCGAAGGCATATTATCAAATCATGCACTTCGAAAACCCCTCAATTTTCTGAGGAAAAAAAACTGATTTTCTTTTCTTTTCTTTTGCTGTTTTCGGATCGATCCAGATTTGCGGGAAGAATGAAAGCCTTATAGGGCAATTGGCCAGGGAGATCCGCAGAGGAAATGAAGGGATTGACCGCTAAAAAATGTCTATGGATACTGGCGGGTATTCTATTTCTAATTTTAATCTTTCACGTGTAAATCTTAGACCCTGAATTTTTTGTCACGTTTATAAAAGGTCCATGTTCTATGTATTATTTTCGAATCTGATCCTTTTTTTTATAATTTTATTCTTTCTAGTCCATTTCTATTACGAAATATGTATTTTAAATTTTGAGGCTACATTATCAACTTTATTGTTATAATATTCAAGAGATCATAAATTCGAATGCGCTTAAACGTAATTATCTCAATATGTTTTTAGTAGAGAATGCAAAATGAAATTAAGAAAGATGAAATACTTATACCTTCTGCAAACCAGTAATAAAGAACATTCTCGGCAGCCAAATAGATTGAGCCACTGTGTGAAACTTCAAGGCGAGGAATGCATTAGGAACAACAGAGAGATGTCAGCGCTCGTGATCATCTTCGGAGTCACATATGGTTTAAATCCTCCGAGACTCAAGCAGATTAAGGGTCATTGAGTCGAAACCGATCCCAGTCTTCAAAGTCACAAACATATTTCGGTGCTTCCTCAATCCAGTACCTGGGAGACGGATGCCAACGATCAACTTTTGCCAGAAAAATGAGCTGCGACATTCGCACTTCGTAGAACAAACTGAATGGTAAGAACTTAATAACCATTCTTGCGCGACTTCTTCGATTAGTACACTGATACAAGATTGATCACCTTGCTTACTCGTAACATTTAATGAATTGAACCACAAGTGGGACATAATGTATTTGAAGCCAATCTTCTGTACTGAAGATTACTCAAAGTGGATAATATTTTGCTTTCAATGCCCGCACCAAAAGGCTTGTGGAATTCACCCATCCTTACTTGGTAAGCAGGGCCATTATATTTCGCAAAGCAGTTCCCAGAAATAGATAAACAGAACACAAACCCTAAATTATCTTATTCCAGCTCTTCGTTCTTCTTGAAAAACTCCAACACCAATACATACACGAGCATGAATATGAAGATATAATTTTCCAAAGATCTCCAAATACGTGAAAATCTTGGAGAAAAACTAATCATATTTGTGTTCGACACATAACCATGTTCGAAATTTATATTGAAACCCAAATAACATTGATGTAACTAACATATTTATGCATATTGATAGTCAACTCAAAACGAAAAAGAAAAAAAGAAACTACACTGCTCAAACAAAATTAGGTCTCTTCATACAAAAAAAAAACATGTTCTGTTTTATCTTAAATTTCATCCTTTGATCCAACATGGTAGATTGGTAGCAGCACGATATCAACCAGAAGATCTTTAACTGAACCAGCCATTGAGTATAGCCTTTCCCTTCCGAAACCATAAAAGCAAATGTAAACTTCCAATCTATGTCCTGTCAAGTTCAAATGGAAAAAGGAAAAAAATGAATGGATATAACATTCAATCATTGCAAGTTGCTAACACAACAATTCTCCAAGGACTATTATAGTAACCTAAGATGGTTTCGGGAAACAATGGTAAAATTCACACTCAAATGCGAGTATGCAAACTGTGAACTTAGAAAAAGACATTCATGGTTTAGATGGAACTAAAATCAAACAAATTGATGCCAAAACATCAAATAGGCCCTCTGTTTCTTAAGATCCAAAAACAACGGCTTCTTTTCTAGCATATCTTGTGTCCAGCAGAGGTTTTAAGTTCATTGAAGCTTAAAAATAAAACATCAGAAAAATATATATGCAGTCAACAGTTCATGCAAATTCATTTACCTGCATAACGATTCAATTGTTTTCTTTGATAAAATTTAATGATCCAATTGTTTTGTTATCAAGTTAGATGAATGTCAATAAACATTCTATGTCTGTGCTATAATTATAAGACACGAAACGAACGAAAAACATACAAGATACACCTTCATTCTGAATACTAGCACGAAAAAGGTTTGATAGCATTGGAAATGCAAAAGATTCATAACATGCCATAGTCGGCAGCAAGTTCACAGTCAGCACTGTCATAAGTACACGAATTCGCAAAACTAATACTCGGCCAAAAGCCATTTCTATCTGGCATCATTGCCATCACTATATCTTTAAGCACAATCAACACTATAGTCTATAACTAAAGGTGAGAAATGTGCTTAAGACCTACTTTTCATATGAACAAGGGAAAACCAGAAGCAGAGTAATCAAAGATTTCAAAACACTATAAACATCAAATTTTACCTAGGAGAGCCGGCATTGATATTCCTATGAAGAATCCGACCCCGTCCGGAATCATCACCTCCGTCAATCAACTCCCTCAATCCCAAATTCACAACTTTCTCCTCATCCTCCTTTTCTTCCTCCACCTCCTTTTCTTTCTCACCATTAACAATCGTCTTCCCTTGCAACCTCTCGAAGTAATTCCCATAAATGTATTCAGGACTATACCCATTCTCATCGTCAAACAACATTATATGGCCATGCCACTCCCAGACCCGATAATCCGATCCATTCTCTTCGTGGAAAGTGATGCAAATATGGTGGTCGTTGATGTTGACAGCTTGACTGGAGTTGGGTTTCAAAGAGTCGGTTTTCCCCGAAAGGATGATCCGAACGATATCTTTTTCAAGCTTGGATTCCTCTTTGGCGAGTTGGGTTTTGTCGGCATCGTCGGAATCGGAGTCCGATAAGTTGGCGGCGTCGAAAAGGAGGTCTTCGAGGGATTGGCCGAGGAAAGAATTGCTTATATTGGTAGGGGGGACGGATTTGGAGTCTTCCCATCAGAGTTTGAAGCAGCAGGCTGTCGAAGTTGTTGGTGTTGCCGAAGGAGCTCATCGTTATCGTTTTCTTCTTACGACTCCAACTGAGGGAAAAGGGGGGGTTCGATTAGGGTTTTAGAGGGTAGAGGGTTTAGGGCTTTTATGTGGGGGTTTGAGGATATGTTCGTAGATACGACGATTGGGGATTGAATTGGATGATAAAGTAAATACATTAAACTTCTATGTTAGATTATTTATTATCCAATTTGAATTATAATTGAAATTTCTGCTACTAACAAAGAAAATCTTAATTAAACTCATAATTTACTTTAGCATGTTAAAAATTAATTCAATTATAATTGAAACTAAATCAATATTTTTTTTTTCTTGCACCAAACCCAAATAATTTATTAGTGAAACTATCTCATTTAATCATCATATTCTTATTATCATATATTTATATATATAATTTAAAGTAAATAATAAAATTTTGTCCACCATAGTTATTAATTAATCTTCATTCATCACTAATAATCATTCTTTATTCATCTCTAATAGTCGTTCGTGATATTGTCAATATCAAGACATTCATATTTGACACCTCTTTTTTCCTTTTAAATTTTCACAAAATCTCAATCAAAATCAAGAAAAGTGGATCTAAAAATTTGACATTGTAATGTTTCAATCTCCACTGATTATCGTTCTATGAAACTAATTTTAATTACGTTATTCGCATTCCCAAAAGAATGTTTATGACTACTTGAATTTTCTACAAAATGCCCTAAACTCTTCAAAATCCCAAATATGATATTTTTTTCAAGTGTGTGATTTTTTAAAGATATTTTGAAAAAATTTAAACAGATAAAATAATACTCCTTTTGTCCTACAAAAATTATCCTTTATTAGAATCAAAAGTTCATTTTTTTTAAATTTTACCACAATTATTTTAAACATTTTAAAAAATTAAATTTTATAAAAATATATATTTTAAAACTACTTGATTTTTAATATATTTTCATATTTTTTAATAATATATTAATAAAAAGTCAAAATTTAAAAAATCAAAAAAAAAATCAACAACTATTTAAAATAGGATGGAGGTAGTAGAGAACAATAAGGCAAATTTATCGATATATAAGATAACAACAAAAACGTCAAAAAGTGACAGTTTTTAATGGCACTAAAAGTTATTTTTTTTGGGGGGGGGGGGAACCCTTAATTCTAGCGGGGAGGATGACAAGATTGAATCAACTATTAATGATTTAACAATCCAATGTAAACTAAGATGTAGTGTTAAGATTGAATCAATTTAAAACTCCATAGTAAAATTGATATAAACCCTAAAGTTCAATGACATTTGACATTTATAAACCCTAAAACAGAGATCAACAGAAAGTAAAAAAGAGTGATATTAGACAACAATCAAGAAAATTAAGAGATAGCCAAAAGAAATGTAAATTAACATGTTTAGTTTCTTGTAACCATGTAAATGACAGAATGAACAGTTTCCGACGAAGCCAAAATTCTATTTTGAACTGTCTATCCGAGCAATCCAGTAGGTTTCTGTCTGAAACAACGGTTTTTGTAATTCGGGTCAGCCCAAATCAATACATACCCTTCATGCAGACGTTGACTCGGTTTCCGTGGCGGCTGCCCTCTTCTTGGCAAAGTACTCTTCAGCTCTTGCAAGGTTCTTGGCAACCGATGGCTTAACCCACTTCTTCCGGCCAGGCAACACGGTGAGTGAGGAACCAGCTGCCTCGAGCTTTTCTTTTGCAGATGATGAGAAGGCACGGGCCTTGAAGTTCAGTTTAACGTTAAGCTCCCCATCACCGAGAATCTAATTCAACACAATTCATAATCGACAATAATGAGCATTTTTAGTTTATAAACAACATGATGGCCATTTATACTGTTTAATACAGAATAATTAAGAAATCAATCAAAGTGAAACACACAGCATAACAAATGTTAGTGAATTTAAAACACATTTCGGAACGATAAACAACAAGAACAAGCTAAACCAGAACTGTGATTGATACTTTGAAATTCAACATGAGAAATAGGACTTCAGCCTGCTGAATTTTCAACCAGAAATTTATATAATATATATGTACATGTCTCTTTGTATGTGTATGTGTATGTCAACAAGCACGATTTATATGGAAATTGAAAAACCAGAGGTCAAGAGGCTAATGGTTCATAAGTATATATGTGTACCTATATAGATAGACATGAATATCGTCCAATTCCGGACAAAACAGGGTATTGCATTCCATAATGAGTCAAGCATTATTGATGACCCTTACATAAGTTTTTCTTTGGTGGAGAAAGTAAAAGCCAAAAGTCTAAGAGGCCACGGAATGTACACAACATATGCATAGTAGTAGTAGCTGGAATGAACCTTACACGGTCGAGATTGAGCCCCAAAATTGAAGGATACGTTTCTTTTGATAGAGCATACTCTAATTGCATTATTATTTCCATAATTAATCAATAACAAAACTGGTTTTTCTCATTATTAACGATTCATGCATAAGATAAACTGAGCTTTCTACTCAAAGATAAAGATATAATTTCTGCTTTCAGGGCTATCAAACTTACACATGGACTTAAACCACCATGTCTCGTCCCTATAGTTGTTGCAAAAAAAATCCGAGATCATATGTACCTTTAAAGGGAGTTTCCTCTCTCTGCCTGATGGGTTGATCAAACCCTTCTCCTTCAAAGTTTCCAATGATACCTCATCATGCTCTTGAAATTCCGCTGTTTCTATGTCTTTCAAGTTAATCGGGATGTATTTAGGTAATCCCGCATGCATACCCCTTGTAAGAAAAATGACAATCGAAGAAAAAATGTCAATGGACAGGACACCTCACAACATAAGAACTAATGAGAGATGAAAAGATTACCAAGCTCGAACTTTGGTTTCAGCTAATATAAAAGAAGCACTTAAACTGATAGAAAAGGCTTTAACTTTCATATTCATTCAATGCCATCTAAGTTCACATCTCCACACCAGCATCATCATCGTAAGATACAATTCTAGGATCTAACATGAGAAAAATAAATAGCATTTTCTACATCCTATAACACTTATTGCATTAAGCTTCCAAAACAATATCTTAACTTTTCTTTAGAACAATTGCAATAGTTTATACTCGGCAAACACTTACTATGGCGAAACAAGCTCGTAAAGAACAAACAATCAAGCACAAAGTTCAATCGCAACCAAACTATATCACGATGAAAACCAAATCCAAACCATTACTTACATAACTTACATTGATTAACCATTTGATTAACCAAACTTGCTTAAATTCTTACTTAAAGGATCAATTTAGTTAAGTGTATCCAAAATTTGCAGAGTTCAACATAAACAACCATCAAATTTCCTAATTATCATAAACGATTTGACGTCCACAGTAAAATATTACCTCCAGCAATGCCTCTCAATTTGGGGATACGCCTATAAAGCGACATTTGGCCACCTTCGAACCCTTTTCTAACACCCGGACCAGACCGTGATTTCTGACCCCTCATCCCAAACCCACAGCTGCCAGCTTGTCCGGCCGATATACCTCTCCCCTTTCGCTTTCCTTTCTTTCTCGACCCTGGCTGAGGTCCAAGGTTATCCAATCGAAACCGGACATTAGAAACCGGAACTGAAACTTGGGTTTTCGCCGCTTAGTTCACAACAACTAAAGACCTTGACGGTTGCGGCTGTTTCCCCGTTCTGATTGGGATGATGTGAAGTGGGTTTGGTCTTAAATTCCTCGAATTTCCCTGCAATTGAAAAAGAAAGCTTCAATGAGTAATGCTGCTAATGCGAGAGTGAAAGAATTAGAAAGAGAACCTTGAAAATGGAGTGAAGAGAAATTGAAGCATGGCTGCCATTTTTGTGGATGCTTTTGCTAAATGGATGAAATTTGATGGTTGAAAGTGTCACGAGGTGTGTTCTCTCATCCTAAATGGACGGCTCGGATTAACACAGTTAAAAGTGATTGATTCGACCTTCTTATCTACTAAAATATTTGAATCACAATTCGAATTACAGATTCAATACCACTTGTACGGAAAGTTTGATTAATATCATTTTATGCCAAATTTAGTTAAAGATGAAACAAAACACACATTACTATGATATTATGTTAAAAAATCATTAGTTGATTAAAGATAAATGTTTATCATATTAACATGATAAGTCTTATACATCTAAAGTAATAATGCGATATATATCACATATACATAGATAAAGATGTGACACATATCATATTTTTAAAATGATAGAATAATACATTCCACGTGTAAATAAATAATTATGTAACGCATAACATATGTACATAGGTGATGATATGTTATGTCATGTATACATAAGTGATGATATAACACATATCAAGTGTACATAAATGATAACATGTCACATGCAACATTATCATTTTGGACACATAAGACTTGTCACGTTATTGACAAACTTTGATCATTAGTCAATTAATAATTTTAATTTAATTAGAAAATATTTTACGTCAAAAAAAAGATTAAAATATTTCTAAAAAATAAATTAAAATGATTATTTTATTTAACGTTTGAGCAGATTTTAACATTATTCTATTATATTTTAACATAAATTAACACGATAAATTCATTGTATATAAATTTTTATATGTCCGTCTTGTATATATTTTTTTCTATCACGTTGTTTATCAAAATTATAAAAATTTACATCAATTGTTTCGGAATCAGCTAAAACCAACTCAGACAAAAGTTTGGCAATCAGAAAATCCTTTTTGCGTCATATTTTACATGAATGAAACCTATATATGCATAAGAAGAGCTATGCAATCTAATCTTCATGAACAGCCACATTCACTTTCCGACTTCGATCCTTCAGATATTGAGAGAACAATAGACCAATTGCGAAAATAATTGGCAAATACGAGACCTTGATGGGATTATCAGAGTGCCGACTGTAGAAGGCATAAGCCACAAGTGCTGAAATACTTTGAAGTGTGGCACATACCAATCCAAATATTTCAGCAAAGCTACCGAAACGCCTGTGGCTTGTAGGAGTAGCTGTTGAACAATAAAACCATGGTAGCTGCTTGTCCCATCTCCATCTCGCCTTTTCCTTTCCACCCTTAAAAGCTAGCTCCGTTGTGCATCCGAGCAAACCTGCGAGAGCCATTAACATTGCTGCCAAGGCATATTTCGGCTTATGCACCGAGGCAAGCTGGTCGAAAGTCGTTGATAGAAGTTCCATTGCAAAGTTGCCAATGAGGAAGATCCAAATCTATCCGTTTGAACACCAAGCCAGAAATAGAGAAGGAACAAGAACAATCAGTGGCTCAGTACTCAGTAGTCAAAACAGTCGAATCTAAATATATAAATTGTACATAAAAATAGGGAGAATGAGTTTATGTAATATCCAGATTTAACCTTTCGACTTGAACCACCCTCCGCGATGCCATTATCTTCTATGTCGATGAAATGGTCGGCTGAATTTCGCAACGGCAGCGACTAACAAACAGAAACCAAAACAACGACAGAGTTCATTGTTGAGAACCAAATGTAGGGAGCTCATCAATATGTCTATAGATGAGCAAACAATAAATGATAATTTTAATTTAATCAGAATATTCATCAAAGTTTACTTAAAGAGACTTTCTAACGAAGAGGTTTAAAAATTAAACACATTGTAACATATTTACCAATTTCTCATATGATGACTTAACTCCTCAAACGCTAAAGACAACATAAAATAGAAACAAACCTGTGGATGTGTACCAAGAATTGTTTGCAGGAGGAACAAGTAGTCAGGATTGTACCCAACCTGAGGAAAGAGTTTCTTTAAGATTTTGTCAAAGTGAAACTCTTTGAGGTCAGCAAAAGCTGCAACAACTTTTGAAGTTGCCCTAGCTCTAATGTATGTTTTCAGCGCAAGATCATCGTCCACAGTCTACAACGAAATCAGAGCAGCAATTAGGAGGCAAAATAGAACGAACAATAATATGAAACCAGACCCAGTTTTTGTAAGACTTAAGATAAAAATTAAATATGATACTAAGTTTTAATTCCAGCAAGTACAAATCAAACCTTCACCAAGTCTCCAAGTTCCTCACTACACTCCAGTTTATCTTCTGCCAACCAGGTCTCCAGAAGATTCTTCTTGTTTTGGTTTAGAGCAAGCCGAGATGATTCTAATGACTCAAATGCATTGAGCTTCACTATTGTTGAAAGGATACTAAAGTACTGCAGCAGTGGTGCAGTTTTCCCAACTTGAACAGGATCACTCTGAGTAGAGGATTTATCATTTATGCCTTGGATAAAATCAAAACAAATACCCTGTATGATTAAGGGAATAAAAAAAAAATCAGACCTGAAGCTTGGCTAATGAATCAGGTGTACGAAGGATCCCTTGCGGAGACTCTGCAGCAAGCTCAGCAGCTTCTGTATACTTCGTCTGAGCAAACAATTCTTCAAAACGCTGGACAATCTGGAATATCCAAAACCAAAGAGTCAACATCCTAGAATAGTAAAAAAATGAACAAAGTGATCAAGACTAATTAACTAAACGAAATTAATAACTTGTTTGAGATGTTACTGTTAAAAACATGCAACATCAGGTATGTCAAACACTAGATCTAATCATGCATTGCCGAACGAAAGAACACAGCCAGAAAATTGGTACTAAGGTAAATCAAGAAACAAGACAGCATGTCTTAAATTCCTGTCTTCAATCTACATACCAAATTCTCTGCCACTGGAAGGTTTGCTCTTTTAGCCAGATTGACAGCAAGCTCCAAATTGTTCAACTGAAACACGAAAGAAACCAGAAGAAGTGCGCAACCATGTCTCACCTAAGATATACCAGAATACAAAACAATAGAGGCACAGAACATACTTGATCACTAACAAATTCCACTATCGTTGCTTCATTTACAGTAGCCAACAACACCTGACCTCGTGTGTTGATGGCATAAAACCCACCCAGCACTGAATCTTCAGAGGTTAAAAATATAGGATCTGGGCTGATCGTAATTCTGGATACTGCGGTCGCCGTCTCTAGATCATAAACAAACAGCAACCCAAGCTTTGTGACAACGTAGATCAAACTATATTTGTGGGATATCTGCCAACTAACATATACTTGTCTTAATGTTTGCACAACAACATGCAGCTTTCAAGAAAAAATTATCAAAATATAGGATATAATGCTAGTATGCTACCTGCATTGCGACTGGAAAATCATCTTCAAAATCCGGTGGAAAAAGTAAATCTGACTGTTTACTTGAAAATGACAGGTTACCTGCCAAAATAAATCTCCTGTTAGAATATTTAAAATATAATAGACTGAAGGATTAACAGAAAATATTATAGCTGTTATGTTGATGTTTAGCAATTGCTTAAACTGTTTTACTTCTTTAATTTACTTTCCCTGTTTTACTATGCGTTTAAAAGACATTCAGTTCCACATCATAAATAACATGAGAAAGCAAAAGTGTAACAGACAGCATAGCAAACTGACCTGGCTGGGCACCAAGCTCAATCACATGCAACTTTGACGTAACCTGGCCAGCGGCATTAAAAGTTTTGGTGGCAAATGACGTAAGAATAGAAGAGTTCTCATTTCCTGGAACCTGCCCAACACGAGCAAGCATATACAATAAGCTGCTAGTTGGATCAGCGTTTGTAGTATCTTGTGAAATAGTAGAGGAAATGCACTTACCTTAAATTGAGCAAATGAAGCAGCGTGTGCTTCAAGAGCTTGACTATGCTGCTGATCAACAGAGAAAAGTTGCATACTCCCCTTAACCAAATGTGGCCTCTAAAAGAGGCAAGATACACATATCAAAACTAGAATCGTATAACAGCAGCAAAAACGATTTTCTAAAATGACAATTTCATAACTAATAATGATTATTCAAGGATCTATTCTAGCAGTATAAAGGAAGATAAATCACCTATAAGGGACTACATACCTCAGGCACACCTGGGGCGGAACCAATCAAAACCATCCACTTCTCAGAAAGGTCGCATTTATAGTTTATTATCTGATTATTCACTAGATTAACTGTTCTGTCAAACATCTTAACTGGCTGGGAATCACCTGCAAGGAGAAATATAACACCAAATTCAAACAACGAATAAAAATAAATTCTCAAAACAAACACAGCTTCCGGTGATGCTAGATAAGTATTATAAATTATTGTTAGTTAGACAGTTTAGATTTAGTATGGCAGTTAGATTCAGGTGGTTAGCACAAGTTTTATATATATATACAGCAGACTTGTATTATTCGATATATGAGAAAACAAGATTCTTTCCTTTCCTTGTTCAAGCTTATTTTCTGTTACAATAAGGGAACAGAATAACATCTAACCTTCAATTGACCAATGATACACAGAGGTCTGTGTCACCAGGCCAAGCAATATTGGGCTAATCCACTTCCAAAATACAACCTAAAAATGTAGCCAAAAACAGTTTGCTAAGTTCATGCAATCAAGTTCGTTATCAAGGAAAAAAGAAGAATGTGAAGAGGCAGGTAGCTGACTTCAGAATGTAATGGAACCGTTACAATAATTAAAGGTGAGAGAAAAGGAAACAGACGTCCAATAATCTTCACCTGTTCAATCATCTGATGTGATTTTATTTTCACATTCTTCTCTAAGTAAAATATTTGCAAGTGATCTTGAGTTGTTCCGGGTATTGGATCTAAAAAATGAATGCCAAACCTCGAGAGCATAAAGCAAAAATAGATAAGAAAAATTAAAAGAGAAAAATTGAATAAACTCGTGCAGGTAGTTGAATATATAATCCTCTGATCAACAACAAAAGTGTCAAATAACCAGAATCCATTACGAGACACAATTCTCTTCATCAAATAATAATAATTAACTGTTGGTAGTTATTATAGTAACTTGCCTTTCAAAGCAAGTATTCTAGAATTCGGATTCATAAGAGTAGAGTCTACAGTAATAGGCAGCCTCAGCGGCTGCATCGGCTTGTTCATGTCTACGATCACAAGGCTGCTATGACGCGCCGTTTCTCTCACACAAATATACTTATCAGATTCCATAGTTACGTTCTTAACTGTGATGAAATCAGGATCGATACCAATGCTCTGCAGCTGCAAACAAATGACACCGCTGCGATCACTAGAGAGATTCAATACATCGAAACTTGTAGAAGATCGATTCAAACAGATGTAAGCAGATATCTGATAAGGCTTATGAAGTTACATTAAGCATAATAGGCGATTACTGGTTACAGTTCAGCTGAAATTTCTTCAAAAAAGCAAATGAATGGAGACGAGAACTGGGAGGAAAGAGTGTGAAACGAGAAGACTTACAGATAAGATCTCCTTCACGGCCATGGGAGCGTTAGCATCTGCCATGGTGGATCAGATTAACGGATGAAGATTTGTCGAATCAGGAGAAGATCAAACGGCAGAGATTGAATCTTTCAATTGCGTGTCAGAACGAAACACTGAGAAAGTGACAAGCAAAAACCTCTGGTAAGTGATCTGAAGCAGAGAATACACAGTTGATAATCTATGGAGAGAAGCAAAGAAAAAACGATGGACTAAGTCCACATAGGCTGAGGATAATGAATTTCAGATTTTGAAGTAATCGTAGTTTTCTGAAGCTGTGAGGAAGCAAGGGATGAAGAGCCATTCCTGCTATTGACTTGACGACTTTGCTTCAAGAAAGAGACTTTGCTTCGTTATTGTTCTAACAGTAATTGTAATTTGTTCCGTTAAATGATTTAGGGTAAAAGCATCACAGATCACTCGATTATTCGTCGTTTACAAATACGTCACTTTTTTAAAAAAAAAAATTACAATTAAAATATTATTATAAATAAATCACTGAAATGTTAAAAATGAAACATAAGCCTAACATAAAATGATATAATGAGAGGTGAATTCAAAAAAAAAAATTAGGTGGACATGTATGTGTTAATAGCATAAAATTATTAAACTCGAACAAAAATAGTAGCAGACACCTACTCACTCTAAATAATATATATAGGGAGATTAAAAGTAGTAAATATGAAGATATTTATCATGGTTATCAAAACTGGACTGGACCGGTTGGTTCAACCGGTTGAACCGTGAACCGGTGGCCTGTCCGGCCCGGTTAATTTTCAAAACCAGTTTTGCAAAGAACTGGCTGAGAATCGATAAAACCGGGGTGAACCAGTTGAAAACCAACAAAACCGGTGTAAACTGCCGGTTCTGTTTTTTTCTTTAAAAAAATTAAACCAAACAACGTCGTTTGTTAAACGAGCCAAGTCGAACTCAAGTATTGCTGAGCTCAACTCGAACTCGAAAACTTTAAAAGTAAGCTCAACTCGACTAAAAAACTCACGAGCTAAAAATTATCAAGTTCAACTCGAACTCGAAATATAATATTGAAACTTGAACTCGAAAAGGCTCGAACTCAAAAATATTTTAGAAGCTCGATTGAAGCCTGAAATTTGAGCTCGATTGAAGCGAAAAAATAGTTCGCTCTGTGCTTACTAAAATACTCTATGATTTTGAATACCAAATTACCTCTATTATTTATAGAAGTCAGTTGGATACTCTTCTATGTTTCTAGCTATGTGAGATTGTTTTGTTCTCATATTTTTACTCTTTATACTTTGGGATGCTCTTCTATGTTTCTTAGCATAAATTAAACCAAACGACATCATTTGTTATGATTTTTTTCAGCCTCAAATTTATTTTTTGATTATAGTTATATAATTATATTTATTATTTAATATATTTTACCTTAAATATTATGTTGTAGTTGATTTGAATCATTTTGTTTCACTTGATTTTATGTTTTTTAACTTATATATGTTATGACTTGTGATATTTTTATACCTTTTAATATTTTAAACTTAAAAAAATGTTATATATATATTAATATTGCTTTGAATATTATGTAAAATTTAAAAAAAATATTATTTTATATAAAATTCGGTTCAAACCGGTTGAACCAGTGAACCAGTACCTTCACCGGTTCAAGGTCCGATCCGATTTTAAAAACATTGATATTTATTGAGAAAAACAAAGAGTTAATCTAAATCATCTAGTTTCACTCATCCAACGTTCTAAATCTGTGCAAAACTAATATATATATTATATAATAATAATTCTAATCTTTAAAATTATATAGTTTACTACGCCATCTTAACTTCATAAGTTTGATATGTCTAAATGTTTATATTTAAATAAAATAATGTTTCTATTATAAAATACATGTATCGTTGAATATGATAATTTTAATCTTTAAAATTTATATAGTTTACTACGCCATCATAACTTCATAAATTTGACATGTCTAAATGTTTAGATTTAAATAAAATAATATTTCTATTATAAAATATTAATGAATAGAGTTAAGCATACAACCTAATTTATATAGGGTTTTGCGTTTTATGAGTGAGATCTTGCAGCCGCCTGATGGGGCGGAGGTTTCGGTGGCTATCACACTGGCACTAGAATGGTCGGGGTCGCCTGTGGCGGTGGCTTCTCAACCGGGGTTGAGAAAGACGAAGATTGGGCATTTGGCTTTCAAAGCGGAGGGTTTGCATGGGGCGTGTGCTGATCCATCTGGCAGTCTGGACGTGGTGATGGGGGATTCAATGGATGGTGAGAGGTTGAATGATTCTAAGCAATTGTCGAAGCCTGATCGGCCGACTGCCAACTTGACTAGATCTTATACGACTACGCTGATAGGGGAGGAGACACAGTTTAGAACCTTATTTTCCGAATTATTGGAAGAGGAAATTGAATTCCATGAGGGGACGATTCAATGGACCGGAGTGGGGCATATCCGATGATTCACTTCTCGGATTGTGTTTATGATACGATTGACCATAATATGCATAAGTTGGTATTCGGCTTTTGGGGAAAACGATAGGCTATAAAGCTTTGTGGAATAAAATTTTCTCAGTGTGGCAACCACAAGGTTTATTCCAACTCATTGACTTGGAAAACGACTACTTTTGGCTTGGTTTGAGAAGGAAGTGGACTTTACCAAGGAATTGACGGAGGGTCCTTGGGTGGTGTTTGGAAGATATTTAACCGTTTAACCGTGAAGCCGAAGCTTCTCTACGACTAACGATCACCTGTCTCACATTATGGTGTGGAACGTTTACCCGGACTTCCCTATAGATATTATTCAAAATATTTATTTCGTCTTCTTGCGGCGGCGGAGATTGTTAAGGTCATAAAGATTGATTATAATACGAGAGTTGGCGAATGAGGGAAGTTTGCTCGGTTGGCAGTGGCAGTTTATCTATCCAAACCGTTATTGTAGTGCATTGGTATCGATGGGTTTGTACGGCGCCTAGAGTACTAAGGCCTTTAAAATATATGTTTCTATTGTGGAGTATATGGACATACTCAGGTACAGTGCTCTCTGCACAAAGATTCTGTGGGAGTCCCAGATGGGAGGAAAATATCGAGTGATAGACAAAGAATGGATATCAATCCTCCGAGTAGTGACTTGTATGAACCTTAGATGATTGCTTAGGGTCGTCGGCGTATAACGCCCGTTGGTAAAGGGATGAACATCGCTCAACAGAACTCACACCCTATGGGTATGGGTGGACAAATACGCTTTGATGTGCTCCAAATGGTAGAAGTCGAGGATGAGGGTACGAGTAAGGACCACGCTGCTCATATGAATCTTCAAAGTCAGCAGTAGGAGGTGCCGCCTTCGAATTTGGTGTTATACGAGTTGACATCGTTTTATGAGTTGACTCAGATGTTATAGGTCATTCTGGAGGAGGATCGGGTAATTCAAGGAGCCTTCTTGGTGAGGTTACGAATAATCCTTCTACTAGCTCTGGCCACGTTAACTTCTTGGGGGTCCATTCGGTTTAAGGTGGTATGTTAAACGTTATTGTTAAGAAACCATCTATTCTGATTGGGTGTCACACAGTTGTGCGTATTGATGATGTGATACTCGAGAAATGGACTGGTTCTTGAGAGAAGGTTAGAACGCTCAGGGCAAAGTCGGGCAGTGAGAACAATGAGGGGAGTATCAAAGGATTACGAGTGAAAAAGAACCTGACTCTTAAGGCTCTTAGTAAACCGTTACTTTTGGATTAGCTCCACTCAGTGACCATTTCAATTGCCAATGCGGGAAGTGCATCTCGTAATAATGACCCCCCGACCGGTGATTCAGGCCATACCATACTGTTAACCAGCAGTGAGGGTACTATCCCAATAGATGCAAGTGCACTGCAGGATACAGTTGCTCCTTATTAGCCTTCTTATTTTCCATGTTTGGGTGTATGATTTGGAATAGCCAAGGTGCAGCTAGCCCCTCTTATCGATGGTATTTTAGACAATTTATTACTGACGTCAACCCTTCGATGGTGGCCTTGCTTGAGACTAGAGTTAGTGGTAGACAGACGGGTGATATTATCTGTAAATTGGGGTTTGAGAACTCTTTTAACATTGAAACTCGTTGTTTTAGTGGTGGTATTTGGCTACTTTGGAGAACGTCGTCGACGGTTGAGGTACTTTGCATTTCAAATTATTTTTTTCATGTTAAGGTTATTGACCCTGACTTCGATTAGTCTATCTTTGCCACAGTGGCGTACGCCTCTCCCAATGCTTCTATCATGAACTCTCTTTAGAACCGGCTAACAAATCTTGATCTCGGGGCTACTCATCCTTGGTTACTTAGAGGGGATTTTAACGCTATTATAAACAGTTCGGAGCGGCAATGTGGTGTTCAGAAAAAAAGTCATCCGAGTAAGGGTTTTAGTGATTTTGTCTTTGTTGATGGACTATAGGATTTGAGTTACCACGGTCCCTAGTTTACTTGGTCCCGAGGTTCTTTGCATCAACGATGGGATCGGTTCTTAGCAAATGATAGTTGGATGTGGTTTCATTTGGATTCAGTTGTGTATCAATTAAATAAGCTTGGTTTGGACTATCGCCCCATTTTTCTTCGCCCCCAGTCTAATGTTTCGAGTATTGGTCACCCCCTTTTCAATTTCTCCCTTCGTGGCAGAATCACGAGGGTTTCAAGGATTTTCTTATTGACCAGTGGAGTTCACAGTGTGATATTTGTCTGAACCTTTCCAATCTTCAGTAGTCCTTGAAGGTTTGGAATTGTGATGTTTTTGGTGATATCGTTAAAAAGAAGAAGAAGCTTATAGCACGAATTAGAGGTATTGAGAGAGCCATTCTCAGGCGTCCTTATCGATTTTTGCTCGATCTTCAAAAGAACTTGAGAATGGAGTTAGATCTGATCCTGGAACAGGAGGAGTTGTGGAGGTAAGAGGCGAGATGTCATTGGATTTTAGATGGGGACCGCAACACAAAGTTTTACCACGTATGTGCCAAATCTCATCGCCGAAGAAACCCTATTATGTCTCTTAAGCTTGACAATGATGAATGGTGTTCTGATCAGTCCTTATTGCGTAACGGGGCAATTGCATTTTTTTCGAAATTTTTTTGCTTCACAAGGTAATTCAGGAGATGGTTTTTGTATGTGTGGTTGATTCTATTAGTACCTTGATTGGGAACTTGGTTTGCTCTTTCATGTGGCGTGTGATGAGGAGATAAAAGCGGGTTTGTTTGAGATGGCTCCGGACAAGGCACCTGGGGTCGATGGGTTTCATACCTCGTTCTTCCAAAAGAATTGGGATGGGGTGTTCCTTTGTTCGTGATTGTTTTTATTGCAATGTAGTTCCTCCGGATATTACTGTATATTCTTGTTCTTATTCCGAAAGTCGCGACTCTTGAAAATTTTACCCAATTTCGTCCAATTAGCTTGTGTACAGTGCTTTTTAAAGTCATCTCGAAAGTAATTGTTAATCGTCTCAAGCCTTTTCTTCCGAAGTGGGTTATGGAGAACCAAACTAGTTTTGTTCTGGGGAGGAATATTTCCATCAATATAATAATCACTCAGGATGTGATTCATTCGATGAAGAGGAAGCAGGGATGTTCCGAATGGATGGTGATTAAGCTAGACCTAGAGAAGGCGTATGACCGCCTTGAATGGGCGTTCATCGAAGACACTCTTTCTGACTTGAAGATTCCTGCCGGGCTTGGGGATTTAATTATGAGCTGTGTGACCACTATTTCTACTCATGTTTTATGGAATGGGAAGATGATGAAGGATTTTAAACCTTCACGGGGAATTCGATAGGGTGACCCCCTGTCCCTATACTTGTTTGTTCTCTGTATGGAACGTCTTGGTCATGCCATTCAACTTCCAATAGATAATGGTCTTTGGAAGTCGATTCGCTTATCTCGACATGGACCTACTTTGTCGCATTGCTTCTTTGCTGATGAATTGTTGTTTTTTTGTTGAGGCTTCTATGGAAAAGTTGGAGGTTATCCGAAACATTCTCTCTGGTTTCTACAAGGCCTTCCGACACAAGGTCAGTCTCTCTAAAACAACAATTTGTTTTTCTCGCAATGTTACTGAACAAGATAGGGATCAAATTAGTCAGGGATTTTAATTTTTTAGAGTTGATGATTTGGGGAAATATCTAGGAGTGACTTTACTCCATAGTAGATTCATATCGATTACATACGGTTATCTCCTCCAGCAAATTCAGGATTGTCTTTCTGGGTGGAAAGCTCGACAACTTTGTTTTGCTGGGAGAATTGTACTGGCTAAGGCAGTCCTCGATGTCATTCCAACTTGTGCTATACATGTTAGGAAATAAATCGAGTACAAGTAATTTTCCTATAACCAGATTAGTGAGAATGCGAAATAAAAGCGGAAAAATAATACTCGAAAATTGATAACGGAGTTAAGCCAATTTGTGCTTACGTTTCCGGACTGCTGCAGATCTTTTACTAAAGAGAAAAATTACAGGTGTTTACAAAACACACTTGAGAGAGAACTGGAAGATTTTGGGATGATTTTGAAGCTAAATGAGCTAGGGTATTTATAGTTGAAACTTAGGGACTAATCTCCTATTTCTATTTCAATAAAATAATGCCTAACTTTGAATTCTAATTTGCAGCAGCCGGCTGCCATCAACTTTCAATAATGTTGGCTGCCATCTAGAATATTCAACAATCTCCCACTTGAAGACTGATTTAATATGTCTTCACACCTCGATCAATGCAGCAGCTTTCTGGTCTTGATTACTCTAGCATGCCAACTGAAGCTGAACACAACTTCAGTTTGTCCGTAGTCACCGTCTTTGTTAACATGTCTGCCGGATTTTGAGCTCCACTAATCTTTTCAAGTTTCAAAATCCATCTTCCAGAAGAGACCGAATAAAATGATATCTCAATTGTATGTGCTTCGTTCTGGAATGAATAGACGGTATTCTTTGCTAGATGAATAGCACTTTGACTGTCGCAGTACAAGACATTGTTTTCTTGTTTCTTGCCTAACTTTTCCAAGAAACTTTGGAGCCACACCATCTCTTTGCTGGCTTCCGTAACAACGACATATTCTGCTTCAGTTGTGGAGAGAGCAACTATCTTTTGTAGTTGAGAAACCCAACTTACTGCGGTTCCTCCTAGAGTATAGACATACCTGTAGTGCTCCTTCTGATGTCGACATTTCCGGCTAAGTCAGCATCTACATAGCCTGTCAGTATCGTATCTCAACCTTTGAAACAAAGTGCTTTGTTTGTGGTACCCCGCAGATATCTGAGGATCCATTTGACTGCTTCCCAGTGTACCTTGCCTGGATTATTCATGTACCTGCTAACAGCTCCCACTGCATTAGCAATATCTGGTCTAGTACAAACCATGGCATACATGAGACTTCCAATTGCTGAGGCATACGGCACCTTCACCATGTGTGCACGTTCTTCCTCCGTCTTTGGTGATTGTTCTTTGGAGAGTCTGAAATGAACACCTAAAGGTGTACTTATGGTTTAGCATCTTGCATGTTGAACCTGGAGAGTACTTTGTTGATGTACTCAGCCTATGATAACATCAAAGTCCCCGACTTTGTGTCTCTCTTTATCCTCATCCCAAGAATATGCTTTGCAGCGCCCAGATCCTTCATATCAAATTGCTTAGACAATTTTTGCTTCAAGTTTATGATCTCTTGCATGTTTGAGCCTGCAACGAGCATGTCATCAATGTAAAACAATAAAATAATAAAGCTATTGTCAAACCTCTTGATGTAGCAACAATGATCTGCTTGGCATCTGGTAAAACCACTGCTACTCATGAAACTATCGAACTTCTTGTACCACTGTCTTGGAGCTTGTTTTAAACCATACAAGCTCTTCTTCAACCTGCATACCAGGTTTTTCTTGTCTATCTCTATGAAGCCTTCTGGCTGCCTCATATAGATTTCTTCCTCCAAATCACCATGAAGGAAAGCTGTCTTTACATCTAACTGCTCAAGATGTAAATTCTCTGCAGCTACAATTTTCAATACCAGTCTGATTGTAGACAGTTTTACGACTGGAGAGAAAATTTCATTGCAGTCAATACCTTATTTTTGCTGAAAACCTTTGACAACCAATCTTGCTTTGTAGCGTTTGCTCCCATCATGCTCTTCTTTGATCCTGTAAATCCACTTGTTGTGGAGCGCTTTCTTGCCTGGTGGTAACTCAATTAATTCTCATGTCTGATTTGACATAAGCGAGTCCATCTCATCTTTCATGGAAGACTCCCACTTGACTGAATCCTCCACTTGCATTGCTTCATCATAGCACTCTGGTTCACCATTGTCAGTCAGCAACAAGTAGTGCAAAGAAGGCGAATACCGTTGGGTTGGTTTAGGAATTCTGGAGGAGCGTCTCAGTTATGGTGTGCCTGGTTCTTCCTCTTGAACTGCTTCAGGACTGATCTGAACATCATTTCCAGAAATCTCCTCGAACTCAGCAAATTCCTTTGTTTCAGCTTCGATATTACTTGATTCTGCAGTTGACATGTCTTTGTACATCACATTTTCATTGAAAATGATGTCTCTGCTTCTGATGATCTTTCGATTTTCGTAGTCCCAAAACCGGTAACCAAACTCATCACCACCGTAACCAACAAAGACGCATTTGTTGGACTTAGCATCAAGTTTACTTCTTTCAGCAGAGTTTATGTGTACATAAGAAATACAACCAAACACTCTTAAGTGTGAAAGGTTTATTTCTTTCTTGCTCTAAGCTTCCTCTGGTATTCCGCCATCCAAAGGAACTGAGGGCCCACGGTTGATCAGGTAAGCTGCAGTGTTGATAGCTTCAGCCCATAGAAATTTGGGCAATCCGGCATGTATTCTCATGCTTCTGGCACGTTCATTCAGAGTTCTGTTCATGCGCTCTGCTACCATTCTGCTGCGGTGTTATGGGAACTGTTGTCTCCATCTTGATCCCATTGTTTGCGCAAAAATCTCTGAATCTATTGTCTCTGTACTCTCTTCCATTGTCAGACCTCAACCGCTTGACTTTCAAACCAGTCTCATTTTCCACCATGGCCTTCCATTTTCTGAAGGTATCAAAGACTTCTGATTTCTTCTTCAGAAAATAAACCCATACCTTCCTTGTTGAATCATCGATGAAGGTGACATAATATAGTGAGCCTGCAAGAGATGGAACTGGGGATGGTCCCCATACATCAGTATGAACCAATTCTAACCTTTCTGCCTTGGGAGTCTTGCCAATCTTTGTAAAGCTGACTTTCTTTTGTTTGCCAAAAATGCAATCCTCGCATAGTCCGACATCTATATTCTTTAGATCCGACAGCTTCCCTTTTGACAGAAGTATCTTCATTCATTTCTCGCTCATATGACCAAGCCTTTGGTGCCATAGGTTTGATTTTCCATCAGCATCTGCTACTGCAATGATATTCTCTAAATTTGAGGTTACATAGAGAGTACCAGTCTTCTTACCATGAGCAATGACGAGTGCTCCTTTGGTAATCTTCCATTCACAGCCTGAAAAGGTTGTACTATAACCTTCTCCATCAAGCTGTCCTACAGAAATCAGATTTCTTTTGAGGCCAGGAATATGTCTCACTCCTGTCAGCTTCCAGGTGGTCTGGTTTGACAACTTTAGTCGGATGTCTCCTTTTCCGACGATCTTCAAAGTTTCATCATCAGCTAGATGAACTTCCCAAAATCACCACTGACATAGTTCTCCATTATTTCTCGGCATGGGGTAGACTGGAAAGATGCCCCTGAATCCAAGATCCATGATTCAATCGGACTGTTGACGCTTAGAATCATGACATCACCTGTCTCCTCTGTCATGTTTGCAGATTCATGTGCGCCGGTATTTTTCTTTAGTGCTCGACAGTCTCTTTTAAAGTGACCCTTCTTGTCACAATTATAACAGGTAAAATCTTTCTTTCCCCGTTCTGGATTTGGATCTACCACGAATTGAATTTCTTTCTGAAGTTCTACCTCTGGACTCCGTGTGCAAGGCTGAGGAGGTTGATGCTTCACCCGATTCTTTCCGTCGAATTTCTTCGCTCAGTACCAGATCCCGAACATCGTCGAATTTCAATTTACTATTTCCCGACGAGCTGCTAACTGCTGTAACAGTAGCATTCCAACTGTCTGGTAGAGATAATAAGAGAATTAAAGGTCGAACTTCATCATCGAATTCAATTTCCACTGAACTCAACTGGGTTGTGATTGTGTTGAGTTCATTTAGGTGTTGTGCCACCGATGTCCCTTCCGTCATCCACAAATTGAATAATCGCCTCATCAAATGAACTTTGTTTGAGGCCGATGGCTTCTCATACATACTGGAGAGAGCCGTCATAAGACCCGCCGTGGTATTTTCCTTTGCTATGTTGAAAGCAACATTGCGGGATAACGTCAGTCGGATAACTCCAAGGGCTTGTCTGTCGAGAAGAGCTCAATCTTCATCCTTCATGCCCTCTGGTTGCTTTCCTGAGAGAGGTTGATATAGATTTTTCTAGTACAAAAAATCTTCAATCTGCATCTTCCAAAAGCAAAGTCCGCACCATCGAACTTTACAATTTTCACCTTCCCTTTGTCTGCAGCCATCGCTCCCACTCGAATCTGGCTACTTCGGATCGTTTCTGACAATTTATGCGAACCACCGTGTATTATAACACCTTCGTCGACAAATTCGTATCGCCGACAAAATTTTACTATTCACGAAATTTACTATTCACGTGAATAGTAATGAATAGTAACCTCGCAAAAAATTGACAAAATTCACAACCAAAAGCTTTGATTACCAGTTGTTAGGAAATAAA